TGTGTGTGTGTGTGTGTGTGTGTGTGTGTGTGTGTGTGTGTAGAGAGAGACGGAAAGAAAAAAACTTGACAAACAACTTATCTGAAGCAGTGTTTGAGAACATTTTCACTTTACAAGCTTGGTGGCATTCTTACCATCAACACTGCTGCTCGACGCTGACAGAACCGTGTTTCTGAGTCGTAATGGATCGTTTTAAAATATTGTATTAGGCAGAATCATATACGTTATTTATTTTTATTCTCTGAGGTTCAATTTACTGCCATGAATGAAAAGAGGCTCCTTGGGATGAAAAGGACTTCACTTCTACCTTTGATTTTTCTCTCAGGTTTGCATTGCCCACACTTTTCAGTGCTGTATGTTGGTTTCGAGATATCACATGTATAAATTAAGATAAGAATATTGAAGTATTCAAGTCATTGTAGCAACTTTTAGATGTTTGTTGGAGCTCAGACAGTTGTTAATTATTTTTTCAGTGTTTTGCCCGTTCTCAGTGGACTCTGGAGAATTTGAATTTGTTGAAGAGCAAATGAAGTATGAAGATGCAAGGAGCTACTGCAGAGAAAAAGACTCCGATTTGGTCACAATTCACAACTCAGCAGAAATGGATGAATTGCAAATTAAGTATTCAAACAAGAATGAAATTGCCTGGATAGGACTGGAGTTTGGAGGTGATTGGATATTGCACTGGTCTCAGCCTGATCATAATTCAAACTATTCAAACTGGTCCGAAGAGCTACAAATGAAAAGTGAGGAAGTGTGTGTATCAATGAATGAAAATGGCACGTGGTTTGAAAACGACTGTGAAACTCAACTAAGCTTCGTCTGTTATAGTAAGTAAAATGGACACACTTCAGTACTTTAAATGGCAAAAACATTCAAATAAAACGCAAAACAGCATTTCATTTCCCATTATCTTTCAGACAATAGTGATGCCAGGAATTATACCTTTGTTGAAGAGCCCAAAACCTGGAGAGACGCTGAAAGTCACTGCTGGAATTTCTCGTCTTATCTAGTTAGCATACAGTCGGAAGAAGAAAACAGAGCTATTGTTAGCTTAGCAGCGTTTCAAAACGTATGGATCGGCTTCTTCATAGATCGCTGGAAGTGGTCAGATGGGAGTAACTCACCATTCCGTTCCTGGGGGACTGGTCAACCACAAAATCCAACCAGTAAAAAGTGTGTTGCTGCTAGATTTGATAAAGACGATTTGTGGGACAATCGGAATTGCAATAACCCCAACAGGTTCATTTGTTATGGCAAGTAGCTTTCCCTTACCTACAGACTATACAGAAATGGTTTTAAACTGATCTGTTTTGAAATCTTGCACAAAACAGGAAAAAATAAAGCATCCATCTCTTTATTCTTACCTTTGCAGCACAGAAATCAACTCCAGCAACGAGCAGTTCCCAAACTACGCTAGCGAGCCTAACAACCGATCAGCTGTTAACAAATATGACAACTATTTTACAGAACTCATCCCAAGGGTTCACAGCAGCTGAACAACTGAACACTACAAATGTTACAACCACAGCTTCAACAACTTCAAGTGGACTGACAATGGCAAATACCACTAAGTTTGTGTCACGTCCCTCAAGCACTGAGCTCAACAATATTGGTACAGAAATGACGGTGACGCCCACACAACAGCACCCAACACCTACAGTCAATGTGAGCACAAGCAGTGCATCCACACTAACAACGCAGGGAACATCAGCTCAGACAACAACAGCAACCTCCACCAGTCACAGTTTGCAACCAGGTAAGTTGAAAATATTACACATCTCCCTAGTTATTTTTGCACAGATCTAAAGAAAAATGTCAAATTAATTCCATCTTTTCTTGTTTTCTTGAAGAAAACCTGATACTAATCCAGAAAAACATGACATGGATTGAAGCTTTGAGTTACTGCAGGGAGCACTACTTTGACTTTGTCCACATCACCAGCAAAGACATTCAGGACAAGGTGGCTCAGAAGGCGAAGGGTGCCACATCCTCCTATGTGTGGCTTGGCCTACGCTACAGCTGCAACTTTAAATTTTGGTTCTGGGCCGGGTCGACTTCTGGCTGTTACCAGAACTGGATTCCTGGGCAGGGTCCTGAAAGGGTCTACGAGTGTGGTTTCAGCGGTGCCATTGAGGCCACTGGGAGGCAGCAGTGGACTGGCTTACCTGAAACAGAAGAACTGAATTTTATCTGCATTACATGTGCTGGATGAGAGTGGACTGCAGTGACACTTGAAAAGGCAAAGTGTTGAAGTTTTGAAGAAGCGTGACATGTTTGTGTTGATTGCACATCTTCTGATGTCCTCGCAGTGTTTTCAGAAGTATTTGAACAAGCCAGAAAACTTGATAGGACTTTAAATGAGTCATTAGGGCTGTTGAACTCATGGCACAGTGTCATACAGCCTTAAGGTATTGTTGAGACTGAATGTCGTTAAATATGAAAGATGTTCCGCGTACGTGCACACAGTCACGGTCAATGAGTATTATGAGAAAATTCAGGCGTGGCAATTTGCATATTAAACTCTTAGATCATTTTAACTATTATAACCTCAGACCGCAAGAGCTTTTCCCGTTTCACTAAGCTGACTCACCTTCACTGGCAATTCCTCAGGAAAAAAAAAAAAAACAATTTTACTGAATCATAACAGAAAGTACTTTGAAACAATTGAGACGCTGAAACTTTTTCAATAGAGTGAACAGAATTTGATTTTTGTCTTTTTCAATGTGTTTAACAGAAAATCTGTATATTTTAACAGCTATAATTTAAATATGTGAACATGTGTTATTTTTTACTGTTATTGTGACACCTTCAATGGCACAATTAAAACTACAATAATTCTACATTCTGGTAAATCCCACTTGTTTGCTGGCACAACTTAGTGAGAAACACATCATTGAATGTGAAAGGATGTAGTGTGAAAATGTATACACTAAACAACACATACTGTGCTCACATACCGCAAGGTATAAAAAGAAAACACAGTCGTGGGAGAAAAGTCCACCCTCTTTCAGTTCAATGGTTTCAGGACACAGTGGTGGGCACAGCTAACCAAAAAGTTAGCTTTGCTAACCCATATTCCACTAACTAAAAAAATGAGCACTTCAGTCAGGCTGAGGTCTTGTCTGGACATTGTTGCACCTTGATTCATTTCTTATTCAGCTATTCTGACCCACACTTCAGCTGACAGTCAGACGACCTTACATGAAACTTGAAAATACTTTTGCTTACAGAGGAGTTCATGGATGACTCCATGACAGCAAGGTGCCCAAGTCATGTGACTGCAAAACAAGCCCGAATCATCTCCCTTCCTCCACCATGCTTAAAGTGTTCATGCTGATATGTTGTGTTTGGTTTACATCAAACATGGTGCTGGGCATCAGGGATAAACACTTGTACTGCACTTTGTCTCATTTAACCATAAAACATTGTGATTCATTCATATGCAACTAATTGTTCAGTTATGAACTTTAACCTTTACCCTGCTAACTGAGACCTGTAGAATCTGAGATGTAGCTCTTGTTTTATTCATTTTATTTTTTAATTTATCTGGAAATTGCACATTATGACTTTGGGGTAAATTTAGGGTGTAATGTCAACCCAGGGGAAGATTGAAAACTGTCATACATGTTTTCCACTTGCAAATAATCTTTCTCAAACGTATGAACTGCTATCTGTTTGGCCATATAATGCTTCCAAGATGGGTGGACAGTAACACATGCTTCTTTAAGCTCATTGCTGTTTCCTGACATTGTGTTAATCTGACTTGTGGATCATCATTGAAACAGATGCACTTGATCAGCAGCACTAGCCTGCTACTTTCCTTCTTAATCTTATGTATAAGCAAGAGTGCATTTAGTTTTCACTAAACAGCTTTTACATTTTGTTTTTGTTTAATAAATAATGACGGGGTGGAATATGTTATGGGATTTTGTACACTTGAGGTTAAATTGAAATGATCTTAGAACCTGATAAAGAGCAGATTATTTAACATGTTCTGATCCATGAAACCTTAAAATTCAAAGAGGGTAGACTTGACTTTTTCCATGATTTTATTTAAACTGTGAAATAAAGTACCTACTAAGGTATTTGCTTAAACGAAAGTAGGTAATAAATGTCTCTGAAATTCAGTTTTTCTCTACATCAAGCTGATAATCAGTTTAAATGTAAATTACTCTGCAACAATTTTGTATATATGCATGGCATTGTTTTTTTGTTTGTTTGTTTGGTGGGTTTAAAATATTCCATGGTGTCAATGAAGACATAATATTGCACCCATGAATTACTAAAGGAGGGCTGAGATGGGGAAGAGGCAGGGCAGCTGACTGGGGAGTGGAGACCAGAAAGGTGTGATTCGACTCCCAGCCATTTCCACATGCCGTGGGGTCTCTGAGCAAGACACCCAATCCCCAATTGCTCTCTGGGCGCTCACATCGCTGCCCATTGCTCCACCTGGGTGTCTCTCAGATGTGACGGGTTAAATGCAAAGAATTGATTTTGCCATTGTATGGGAACATACAATGATGACAATCTTACACTTCCCTTCCCTCCCTAAAGGTGCAGCGGTTGGCAAAATGGTGCGCCAACAACCTGTCACTCAATACCAGGAAAACCAAGGAGGTGGTAGAGCTGGGCCATATCATAACGTTCACAATAATACCAGTAAAAAAAGCTTGCCTGGGAAAACAAATTATAAATAAATTATATCATGATATGCTAATTTCATGACGTAAATATGTTAGTGTTTCCCCTACTATTATACAACCAGGGTGCCCCGACCCGTTAACAGAACCGAGCACGCCAAGCTACCGAACCATCCATCCATCCATCCATACATACATACATACATACATACATCCATACATCCATACATACATACATACATACATACATACATACATCCATCCATACATCCATCCATACATACATACATACATCCATACATCCATACATACATACATACATACATACATCCATCCATCCATACATCCATCCATCCATCCATCCATACATACATACATACATACATCCATCCATACATACATACATACATACATACATACATACATACATACATACATACATACATACATACATACATTATCTTTACCCGCTTCTTCTTCCATTTCGAGTCATGGGGGTCGCTGGTGCCCATTTCCAGCCATCACTGTGCAAGCGGCGGGGGGACACCCTGGACAGGTTGCAAGTCCATCACAGGGCCCATTAAATTCTCTAAGTGCAATAATCCTCTAGTGCAATATATTCAGTCTGCTTCCACTACCTCACCTGTATTTGTCTGACCAGCATGTCTGTTTTCAGAACTGATGTTTCTTGTCTTTACTGTTTACACTGAATTGTTGTTGTCTTTTTTTAAATGAATACACTGTCAGTTTAGGCACCTTTAATTTCATTGTTCAGGCTGGGCAGTGACAATAAAGACTATTCTATTCTATTCTAAAGCATCTTTTGTAAATGGAAAGAGTATTGTCACATATCAGTTACTACGGATCATTACACAACTGTGTTTAGATTGATTCCCCTCAAAAATGCATTATTCAACAAGCCTCCCTCCAGTTCAATGTTAAAGTTTCTTTGGGTCCAGCCAGTCAGTCCTGGATCTGTCCCTCTCCTTCTTTTCTCACCCTCAACTTCTCTTGTGTGCTGTCCAGCTAGCTCTGACCTTTGACCCCTCCATCCTCATCCCTGACCTATGAGGACATTCCCACGCCACATCCTTTTGTGCATTTATCACCATGCAGACCCCAGGCCGCTCCCTCTGAGTTTTAGAGATTCTGGCTGAGCGTAATTCATCTCCAACTGGATCAGTATGATGCAACCTAATTTGACATGAGCTCAATTCAAGTATGAGATTGAGCTAAAATTAGATTAAAAAAATAAATAAATAAAAAGTGAGCAAACAACAAATACAAAGAAAATAAAACCAAGTTTATTATACATGCACCTGTCTGACATATGGTTAAATTCAGGAATACAAGATTTATGAAATTTAATGAAACATTTTTCTAAAATTAGTGATAAGTGTTTGAAGGGTAAAGCTTGGTAACATATTTTAAAGCTGAAATTCTTAACAGTTGCTATAATTTTTGCCTACACATTTAAAAGTCTAAACTATAACTTTACATTTACAGTATATCAGCTATGCACACGTCTTCTTCTTTCTCATTTTCCTCTGCTTCTACTCCCTTCTCCTCTTTTTCTTTTTTCACTTTCACAGTTAACTGAGGAAACGCAGATTTTCTCCACTGAAGTGCTGTCTCTTAGGTAACCCCACTCCTGCATGTAATGAGGTGGGCAAGAGGACATGGACTGACCAAAAGAACAAGCAGCGGTGGAGGCTGGAGGCAGCATGCAGGAGAGATTACATTACACTGTTTAGATTTTATTTATTTATTTGTATTTTATATGCACATAAGATCTGGACTAATATAATTATTACTGATGATATAAAATGTAAGTATGAAATTATTTGATTTTTACCAAGTTTAGAACTAAACAGAAAATTTTAACGTTCTGAGATTTTAACTTCCTGCCTAGAAAGCATTAAGAGAAATAAATGCATACTATTAATGGGGGGGGGGGGAAGCTACTCGTGGTTTTTATTTTTACGTAAATATATTAACTTGAAGCAAATGCTGAAAAGAAGTTTAAATAATAAAATCATCTTGCTGCACCTGTGTGACCTCATCACCTATAAAATGTGATCAAACCATCTATTTTAAATAATTCCTGGCTTAAATGATAATATTAATGGTTATCCTAAAGTTTGACAGGGAGTCTGGTGTTGATTGTCCAAACGCAATTCTTGTACTTCTCCTTCATATCCAGGAGTTGTGGATGGACATCATGCCCCCAACTCCCATTGACTCCCATTCCATGCCTTACAGCAGCGATCAACTCAGGAAGCAACTGAATGTCATGTAGTTTCTATAATAAGATCCTGTAATTAAATTACTGTAAGAATTAGCTATTAAGCACAACATAAATCTGCATTTATGTTGTGTAACTGATACAGATCTGGTGAGGAAATTCAAATGACTAATTTACTGTTCCATGGCTTTTTTTGTGTCGCCATACCAGCACTGAGCTTCTTATAGAACACAGGCTGCTTTTTCACTTTTTAAACAATTCAACACTCAACTTTAAACCTTTCAGCAACAAAATAACACATAAATTCAGGAGCTTAAGTTGTGTTGTGTCTTCAAATAACAGATATTTTAACAAAGAATCATTTGTCAGCAGCATATTAAGGCACTTGGTTACTAGCAGCCTTTTACAAAAACACTATTTGTTCCCTTCTTTTAGCTGATTGTACAAAATATGTTAAAAATAAATGTTGCACAAGTATAAAAAAAATTTGCACCAAAAAGATAACCAAGAACTATTAGCTAACAACATGGTAATGGTGTCCTTAAACATGGGGAGTAAGTAAACAAAAAAATAATGAAGTAAAAGTGTCAGAAACAATAAATGGAAACCAATACATTTTTGTGGGAGGACAAGCTCCTAGTAGGAAAGTGCATAAGAATTTAATTTAAAATACATATTTTTTAATTATTATTGGTTGTCTTATATGTTGAATCATACTTTTTCGTTTAGGAGCTATTTTTGTGTTTGAGAAATTTATAGTACAAAGATAAATGGATCAACAACAAAATAAAATCTGGATTAAATTGAATTGGGTTCAAAACGTAGGTCTGGTTTTATGAGAGGTTCTTCTTCATTCACCTGTTCAAAATTGCTAAAATAATCAACACTCTGCCTTTGAGCGATGCAAAAAACTAATTTAACCATTTTCTTGCCCAAAATTATAATTTTATATTATCAGGAGGTGAAAAACCTTAGACACCTTCAGCTGGGTCATAAATGTGCATCATATTATTTCAGATTTAGATCTCTGAAGGCTGAACCATAAATGTAAAATTCTTCGAACAGAAAACATTTTAATTTACTAAATGTTGTCAATCTTTATCACAAAATGACTTCATAGTTCCATATTGTCCCAACAGAGCACATTATTATCAGGCTGCTGGTTTGTTTGTACATGCTTCCATTGCTGCCAAAAGGTTTGTGCTTTTTTATTTCCCTTTGCCTAGTAGGCATCTCTGACCTTGTGCTTCTGTGTGTGTCTCTCTGTCCCCATCTCTCCTCCTTCAGCCTGTTGAAACAGATGTGCGCCCATCCTGACCATTCAGCTGGAGGTCTCATTCTGCTGAAGTTCTCCTCTTCAGTGCTGTGCACGCTTAAAACAAGATATACTGTAAATAAAAGCAAAGAGTGTCATTTGTTGGCTTCCTTGGTTTGACATTTTTAAGGCGCTTTATGAATACTACATTGCATTTGACTGTAGTGAATTTTAATTGTATTGAATTAGACTGCAATAAACTGAATTAGCAACAAAAGTTTTTCCGTATGGTATATTTTGTTGTGAATTAGAGCGATATGAATAAACTAAAAAAAAACTAATTAACACAGGTCCCCACCCCGAAAAAGAATAAAACATTTAGGAAACCTGAGGAACAATTGCTATAGCAGCTTAAATAATACCACAAAAGGAAATTGTTTTCTTCCAAGTAAACCATAATGAAATGCGTTTGCAATAATTGTTTAATATCTGACTGATAGGCTTGCAGTTTTGTAGTGTCTTACATGTAAACTGAAAGAAAATGAGTGGAGTATGTCTAAAAGTTGGAATAATCATTTAAAATCAAGTTTGTAAAAGTTTGTTTATGATACAGAAACGTTTGAAACTTGAACTGCTCTTAGAACAAAGTCCATGCTCAATAATCCAGGTATAAAATCCAACATTTTTCAGTCAGGTCATCTGGACAGTTTCTTTTTTTGTGCTGAAACGTTTCACCTTTGATCCGGAAGGCTTCATCAGTCAAGGAAACACACAACAAAACTGATTCTTCCTCCAACAGCTTACTCCAAAGTAGAACAAACCAGTTCTGCTTGTGATAAGATGGTCTCTCTGGTACGCCCCTCCTCCATTGCCGGCCCTCTTCCTTGTTGACAGTCTTGTCAAACTGGTTGAAAACAACAAAGTCCATGTTGGACAACAAACAACAACAACAAAGTCCATGGAACTGCTCTTAGGTTAAACTGTTTCAGTCTCAACCTCAACTCTTTAACCAATACAAACAAAAAATACAAAAAATAAAAACTATTTGAACCAAAGGTCACATTTGGATGTTTTTCTTTTGCCCACCACCAAAGTGGGAAAAACTGGCAATAATGTTTTGGCCCAT